GATGTGGAATGCAGTCAGTAACTTCTGAAACCTCAGCTACCTTGGTGAAGAGTGTTGCAGAGAACACAGATACAAGCAATGCTGGCAATGTGGGGGTTTTGCATTTAGCAATGAATATGGCATTGCATTCTTCATTCCTAAGAAAAGTGCTTATAGAGCACACTATCAAGGACTGGGTTTTTTTTTGATATTTTGGGTTAGGAGAGGGAGGCATCTTATCTTTCCAATATTGTAGGGTAGCTTTATTCATGAGTTTATAACCATGTCTATATTTTGATGTCATGAAAACTTGCAATTTTGGGTAGTTGCATAAAGCCTGAGCTACTGGAATCATGAGATTGCACGAAAATCTGTTCTTTCAGCCTTTCAGAAGATAATGTTCTTCCTCAATGTGAGCAAGCAGAAAGGACAAACAACTTAAGAGAAAGCTGCTCTGTCTGGTAAAGAACTGAGGTCAGACAGGGAACTGCTTCCCCAGGGAGGTTTGGGTTAATATTCATAGTGATATTTGCACGTGTGGGTAAAGGCAGTAACAAATTAAATCTCCGTACTCTGCTGCTAAAAATTAGACCAGCTGCTCTTGCTCCCTTCCTCAGTGGTCTCAGCCCAAAAGCATAGAGAAGTAGTGGATTCTTGTAAAGATTAATCTTTATTGGCTACTACTACTGTTAATAAAGGAGACCCTCAGGGTGCCTTCTTGTACTCATTGAGAGAGATTTTGGCTCTAAATCTCACCCTAAGGACGTCTCTTACTCTGCTGACTACGAAGAGAATTTGTAGGAGAGCCTCAACACATGCCCCAGGCCAATTTCTGCAAAGGAAAATCTGGACCAAAGTATCTGCATCTTAGAGCTGCTGATCTCACCCAGGTCTTTCAGCAACCCACAGGTCACATTTTTGTACACACAAGAACCATTAGATTAAATTAGCATGGAGGAGCATGGGAGAGTGCAAAGGTTAAATTCTGCCCTCACTCCCCTACCATCAGCAGGAGTTTCTCCTGGCAGGGAAGAGGAGCCAAGCCCAAGAGTGACACTCCACACCCAACACCCTTGAGGGCATAAAGGGGACAGTAAATGGGACATGGTGTTCTTTTGCATCTCATCTTCAGATGAGGGCAGGCCAGCTCACCCTGAAGAGGAGCCTGGCCACAGGCAACCATAAAAATCACAGAATCATAGGATGGTTTGGGTTGGAAGGGACCTTAAAGATCATCTAGTTCTGACCCTCCTGCCCTGAACAGGAATGCCACTCACTAGACTAAGTTGCTCAGACCCCATCCAACATGGCCTTGAACACTTCCAGGGATGGGGCATCCACAATTTCTCTGGGCAATTTGTTCCAGTGCCTCGCCACCCTCCGAGTAAATAATTTTTTCCTAATGTGTAATCTAAACCTGCCCTCTTTCAGTTTCAAGCTATTGCTTCTTGTCTTATCACTACCTGCTCATACAAAATGTCCATCTCCCTCCTTTTTATAAGACCCAATTAGGTACTGTAAGACTACAATGAGGTTTCCCCAAAGCCTTCTCTCCTCCAAGCTGAACAACCTCGCCCCTCAAAGCCTGTCTTATTAGGAGCAGAGCTCACAGGGAAGGCTCACAGGAGGATAGAAATCTCATTGCGCCTTGGCAAATGATTGCCTGGGATTTGCAGAGATCTTTGTCAGGAGAAAAGACTTTTGATAAGGCAGAAATTTTCTGCTTGTCTTTTAGATAGCTTCTTTAAAAGGCTGCTCAGGAAGATCTGCTAGACAGTGTCTCTGTATTGCTCTTGGTTATGAAAGCTGGCCTCTAAAAGGCTGCATATGTCAGTGTCAATACAACCATTAGGATGTGGTCCTGCTCCCAAACGACCTTGGCACTATGATGGTCCTTTACTACTGTTGGTTCACTTGAGTTTCCTCGAACAGACTGGGAACAAGCAGTCCTGTCTGGATCTAGTGACTGCATTGTTCTTGCTGATGGTTGAAAACATCTCCTCCAAAATCCCCTCTGTCAGTCGTGAGCCACAACGTGCTTCAAAAAAGAGAGCTTGTTTCGGAACGTTTACTGCTTGTTTGCAAGGGGCCAAAGAAACTTGTTCACATTGATTCCAGGTTATTATTGGAGAGTGTTTGGGGATACCTCATTCCTCCCAAACGCACTGCTTGCCTCCTCTGCATTTGCTGCATCTGATGCAGGAAGCCACAAAGGGCTGGCAGTGGAGCAGTGCCATCTACATATGGTTGCCTGTCAGTACCCAGTTTCCAACACACTTGCCGTAAGCATGTTTCATTTATCTCAGCATTTCCACCATCCACCTTGCCAGAGGGCTGGAGCACCCAGCAGAAAGAAGGAGGAGAGTCAATTAAAGCTGCATCACAAGAGTCTTGGCAGGGGGAGAGCAGAGGGGTGTTGGCTGGTGCAACACCGTGATGGAAATAAATAGCACCCGCCTCGGGCGAGTTTATAGCGCTCCCGGGGTGACGGCCTCCGCCTCGGCAAGGGTGTGCCTGATGTCTCACACCGACTCATTGCTTGAACAGAACCCTAGGCACTGGCCACAATTCTTCCACTGACACTCTTTCAAGGTTCCAGTACCTAATGGGAAATTTCCCTGAGAAATCTGTGAGACTCAGACCCTGCCGCACCTGGGGTCTGACCCAGTCAAGCCTGTACCGAGCTGCGCCTGGCTTTCAGTTTCAGGTGGACGAGGGATGAGCTTGTGCTTTAGGCCATCTAGCCCTTCTACACAGATCTTTGTGCCTCTGCTCGTAGCTACTCCATGGCTGGATGTAAACTCATGCCTCTGAATAGCCTTTCGTAAAAGGCTCAGCCGGTCTGTGCTGCCCTCTCATGGGCTCACATAGGAAAGATTACATTTTATTCTGTTTTTTTTAGTTCAAGATGCTTTTTAACCTGCTACTCCAATGCTGTTTTTCCACACGTGATTTCTGAAAAGCCAGGAAGGCTTAGAATAACTACTAGGAGGTCTATGGATGCTAACTAGGAAAAGGCGTGCTGGACCCTGCTCAGCTTCTACCTTTCTAAAGGGCTTTGCTCTTCATTTACAAAGAGTTAATCATCTAATGGCGCAAAATGTAGGGAGCTGTCGCTAAACTTCTCCCATATGTGCTCCTATCTGCCAAGGCAAACATAAATTGTCATCATGGCATCACACCAGGGTCAAGGAGTCTCTCAAGATAGCTCTGTTACGCTGCCAAGGATTCAGACAACAGGGCCAAAAGCTGGGATCTCCAATGGGCAGTGTTTGCTTTCAACACCGTGGGGTTCCAGCAAACTGGCAACGCTGTCCTCCACTGAATCTTCTTGCAAAGAGGCAGGATACTACACTAGACCCAGGGCATGCTTAAACAATAGTGGGATAGAGCTGGCATCAATCTACTCTTCAGAGGGACTGTGGTGTTCATGATTATGCAAATTTGAGACACTCTTAACAACCTTTGAGTCTCTGACCACTTGCTTGCATGCAATGCAGCCTTCCCCCTAATATCTACTCACCTGTCCAAACTCCAAAATCTCCTCAAGGTGGGAACTGTTTTTCTTCAAAGGCTGGTATGACACGTGTTTTTTCCATTAACAAACGCAGTATTACACATCCTTTATTCACCTGTTTCCTGTTTTATGCTAGAAGTTAAGCTGAGGAACAGGAAAGAGGAAGGACAGAGGTCACCTCTTTTCCTTACCAACTCCCTAACCCAATATGGATCCTGCCTCCCAGTTAATAATAATTTTTAAAGTTGGACCACATGATTCTAAATAAGGCATTGGCCTTAAAGACTTGTAAGTTTATAGTGAAATTTCCATAGCAAGTGTGAGTTGCACTCCCTTAGCTACAATGCTTCCTTTTCTATTTTGAGAAATTCACTAGACAGCTGTACACCTTCATAATTCTGGCTCTGTTCAGCTGTATGTTCCTCCATCTCTTGCTTCTTTAATGACAATGAAAAAGATGCTCGTTTTGGTCTCCAAATAACAATGGCAAAAAGAAAATGAGTCTATCCCATTGTTTCTTTCCTGGTATTACTTCACTGCAGTTTATGACATGACACCAGCAGTTTCTTCTCTTTTCTGACTTGGAAGATAGTTTACCCCAGACTCCTGGCTGAGCAAGCCATGGAGATGTCCTTCCCAGTGCTTGAGAACAATAAGGTCTGTGACAAAGAGAGTGAGCTATTCCCATCTGGGAGAGGAGTTGCATGGGGAATTGAGATGATAGCCTTGAGGGAGAAGAGTCCCTCCATTCATTCATACCAGCAATTTCTAAAACAGACCAACTGCTGGGATGTCCACAGTTTCCAATGTTGAATTATACATACAGAAATCTCTTGTATCTGCTTCACCTAAATTCATGTGTTCTGCAGTGACATTCCAGCCCACTGCCTTTCTCCAGGAGATGATGAATGACTATTCATCCAATCCATATCTCTTCAACAACTCAAAGTCCTTCTTTTAATTATTGTATGTCAAACTGTGGCCATGAGCTTTTGGTGATGTTGCTACATCAGTGTTGTCCATAAGCACAATCTCCAGAAAAGGAATGCAGCCATGGATAATAAAGCCTGACCTTAACGAAATGTTTCTTCATTTTTTGCTGCATTTCATCTGGATGAAAGAATGGTCAAGAGAAGCTTTGCCTGGAATACAACCTGGAGGCATGTCAGACAGGGTTTGATCAATTCGCCTCACTATATTCCCTTTCCAAGCACTTCCACATTCTCCAGTCTTCAGCCCGAGCTCTCTTTAGCTAAGCTCTTTGTTGGACTTTACCCAGAGGTTATTTTCTTCCATTTCAGACATGAAAGCAGTTGCTGCTGCCTACTATGAGTTCCACACGATTGTGAAACTTTGAAATCAATGGCATTTAACTAGCTTAAAGTTGGTGTTATATAGCAGTGATTCATACACAGTGAGTCACAATGAAATGTCTCATGCTGTAACCAGCTGCCCATTGAAGGGAGATCTTGCCCTCCACCTAAGAACCAGAACAGAGGCTGTGTGAATTTTCAAAAGATTTTTAATCAGCTGCTACAACTTTTTTCCCCCCATTGGTTAGAAGCAGTACACAGGCAACTTCAGTATTGCTTGGGGCAGCTGTGTCTTTTCAAGTTCCATACAGAGATGGCAGAAAAAGAAACTGGTGTTTTGGTCTGAGAGCTCTATTTTACAGGGACTGCACTTTCTTCCTGATTGGATCCTCTGTGTCCTGCCTCTGGAGGAGCACAAGGTTCACAACAGAAACAGTCTGGGCACCGTAAGACCATGCCATTTGGCAGATTAACTGGGTGTTGCACCTCTGTGCCTGTCCACGGAACAAAAAAATCTCTTCCTTGAAAATAATGTGTTTTCTCAGTACCCAGCTCATACTGCAGAGGAATCATCCTTGGGAACTACAAATTACTTCTAACTTCCACACCTTCCACTTCATGACTTATCCATTAGAAGCACACAGAGATACATAGGTGTGGTAAAAAAATCCCAAACCACCCTTTCTAAAAGAATGCACTTCAGTGCACAGCCATTTCCCTTCTGGAGAGGAGAAAGAGCAAACAGCAGATGTTAGTCACGTTGCTTAGCACTCTGGAGGGCATTCAGATGTGCTGTGACTAGTGGGCCGTAAGGACTTATATGGAAGAGTTTCGGTTACACACGAGGAACTGCTAATTCCTTCTGAGCACTCAAGGCAAGAAACTTAATGACAGTTTAATGTCATGTTGATAAATGTCCACTTACAAAAAAGAAATAAAGATCCAATGGTTTTGGAAAGAAATTGTGGAAAAGGGACAGTCACTCTGGAATTAAGGCTACAGTAAAAGTTTCCATTTTAAATCTTACTTTTCTTCTTTTCTTCAGCACAGAAAAGACTTCTTATACACAAACAGCAGTGCCTTAATGTGAAGTAGATTTTTTTTTCTAGAGCTAGAGTGTAGTTTTCAGAATAATTCTGAAGCAGATAAAAAAATACAGCTGTGTGACACTACCGTAAACACTGTAATCTGCAAACATTCTGGAGGATCTTTTTTTATTTGTTTTTATAAAATTAAGTTTTATCACTGAGAGGTTTGAGGTGAAGGAAGTGACATTTCTCCCTAGCTCATGGTAAGCTCCCCAAGAATTTTGATCTAGGCCCTTGCTCAGAGATTATATACACCCTTCCCCACCAAACTCTGAATGCCAAAGGATTTTCCTTGGCCCACTGTCTTCCCCAGTCTCATGCCATCTACACATACCAACTCCAGGCCCACAGAGCTTGTCCTGGGTACAGCCTCATTCATCTCCAGAAAACTGGTCCTCAAAGGAGAAAGACCTCTCCTTAACAGAAAGAAAAGAACAGAAAACACTGATTCTCTTTTCTGAGAAAGAGACAAGACAGATGCTCTCTCTTATGTGTACTGGGGAGGAATTCTTGCAGCCACACAGCAACTTTGTTAGCGTGAGATGAGGTGACCAGGCCACCAAAGGAAAATTGTGACCCTGAGATTACTGAGGAACACCGGGTATGGCCTCTCTTGCAAAACTTCTGTCATCTGTAAGAAGACTGCTTTCCAGCTCATTTCAACCTACCTGAGATAGGAATTAAGGATGTTACCTTGCATAACTCCCTTAATGCTGACATGAAGTTGAAGGCATATACTTATAGTCTGAGAACATATTACAGGTCAAAAGCTTTTCATAAGCAAAAGACAAAAACCAACTGCAATACTCAAATGACAGAGGCAGGAAATACACAGTGAAGGCTGTACCCCAAGGCACCCTAATCCTGTTCTGCAATAAAATTCAGAGACATGTCAGCTTCTCTGTCTCCTGGGACAATGTGCTGACAAATGACCATAGAGATGAGAAGGCTTCAGACACTATCTTCAGCTTCCATACATTTCCTGTTCCACAGAGGTACATTAGGACAGGGCACGTATGCATAATTTTTCAGCCTGATACATTTTTGGTCAAGAATTTGTATGCAGATCAGTCTCAGATTCTCACTGTCAGATTTTTCCAGTTGCTGGAGATAAGTAAGGATTTCAAAACCATATCACTGCTGCAGTGGGACCTAGATGCCTAAGTCTACATTAAAACTATTATTAAACCAATCAAGATTTAATCTGAATCTTGAGCCATCTTTAGGCTCACAATAACCTTGAAAAAGTCCCTTCCCTATGAATGACAGGGGTTACCTGCCTTCAATCTTGAAACATGTGAGTTAACTGATCCTTTTTGAGAAACTCAGATAGAAAGGAAACTCATCTCACACATGGAATTTGTATGCCAAATACTTGCCCTCTGTTATTCCCAGACTTTTGGCGCCCAAGCTGTGCTGTGTAGAACCACACAACCCAATCCTCATACATTATTTTTTTTAAAAAATAGATAGATGAAAGTTTTTATGGTGCTCTCTTCATAGCCATAGAAACAGTCATTTGGGAATACACACCATTCATCAGGAAATTAGAGCACATGCCTAAAAAAGGGAAAAGCCTGTAGAGACATAAAAACCCTTTCTGACATCTATTTCATGTAGATAATCTATTAAGCCAAATAACAGTACGCTCTGTTGCACATTTTCAATAATTGTCAGGCAAGAGACAAGAAAAAGAAAGAAAAAAGTTTTTTTTACAGATTAGAAGCAGACACATGGATGGTATGAAAATAAGGACTGTAAGTGTTTCAAAAATTAAACACAGTTCACAGGCATTGCCGTTTGTGTATAACACAGTTCAAATGATGTGCTTGTGAAATGTACCTTGACTCTTAATCCTCTGAGCTACCAGTGCTTGGTTTTGGTTTGTTTGCTTTTATTCACCTCCCACATTCCTGAGTGAAAATGTCTCCTGAAAGCATAAAGGGTGTGTGCAACTGTTGCTTTACTGTTCTGGTTATACACTGTACTTACAATGATACAGGCAGGGCCACCCCAAAAAACAGAGTGATCAGTGTCCAGCAGGGATGATTTAGGGTGAGACAGCTGTATCCAGTGTGTGGAAGAGGCAAAGAGACAGCTTCTAGCATCAGAGGAGCTCTGGGGGTAGTGGGAAAGCCCAGACACAAACTATCAAAGTACGAGATATGCATTGGTGCTGCTGCATAGCTGGATACAGTAAGCCACCGATGCAGCATGAAAAAAGAACACTGTGGGTTGTCCAGGGCTGTTTTTTTAACTCTACTTGCTTTTGTCCTCTCACTGTCTGAGCTGTGAAGTTTCTTTGCACAGAGAGGCAGAGTGTGGAGAGGACCAAATATGAGATTTATGCATTTATATGCCTAGAAGTTCAGCAGACCTGCCTCTTCAAGATGTGCCATATGTGCATGAAGATCCATGCACGCTTAGATCTCAGTCTGTGGTTCCAAACCAAAACTTGGTTGCAGGATTGAAACCCAAGGGGAGGAGGAAGCACAAGCATACAAAACAGAGAAACCAGGCAAGAAACAGCAAAGCAATCTTTTCCAAGTTATTGCTAATGACTACATGGTGCTGTGAAGGCATGGTGTGGCAATACCACAACAGCAAGGTCAGTGAGGGCCAAAAGGAGTGCACAAGACCTCTTCTAGAAGCACCTTCACATCTTTGTTCTAGTCTGATAGTTTCTCCGCTTCTGCTTGCCTGGCATTTATCATAGACTGCACCTGGGCAAAAGGAAAAGGAAAAGCAAAAGAGTCATTTAGGACCTTATTTGCTTTCACACTGGTGCCCAGAACTGACCCTGCCATTCCTCTGGACGTTTTGTGCTTAATGCACCATGAACCCAGCAGCAAACCTCAAAGATGGTGTCTCTCCTGACTGACTAGAGGGCAAGGAAGACACTCTTTTCCTCTGTCTGCTCTCTTTCTTCAAACCTCCTCCCAGGAAGCAACCCACACGTCTAACTTGCTCCCAAACTATTGTTTCACTTCACTGACTTTGAATTACCTGTGTTTTAATGCCCTGTAGGATCAGCAGAGACAGCTCTCTTGAATAGGGGGGTGTGGGCAGAAAAAAGTGCTCCCACCCAGTATGGGACAGGGTCAGCTAGAGAATGTCACAGAGATCTCTGTCATTAAGCTGCCCTCACTTCTCAGGTAATTCCAGGGCACATTCACCCCATTCTTCCCGCACCCTCCCATACCGGTCCTTCCTCTCAGAGCACACATGGTCCCTTGTACCCCTGGCACTGTGCTGCTGCTTGTGTTTTCTTCCTCCCAAGACAGCAGACGCACAGTCAGGGAAACAGTTCTGGGCTCACCATGATTCTGGTGTGCTCAGCAAAGCTGACCCCATCCCCACAGTGCCCCAGCAAGGCACCCTACCTCCTGCAATATGAACTGCAAGGGGTCATCAGGCTTATGGAACAGCAGTTTTTCTGTGATATCCTGAGACAGAGACAGACAGAAGGAATGAATTATTGATCCTTGGATAGATGGGTGCCTGCACTTCCTATTCCAATAGCATCTGCATTTTAAAAAGCAAGAATCTGTTCATACACCAATGATGATCCAAGGTCTTTTCTACAGCTTTTTCTTAAGTCTTATACTTAAGAAAGCACAGGACAAGGAGGGGTCTGGGGAAGGGATAATTTGGTTCAAGCTAACTTTAGATCAAGCTTCTCATGTAAGCCTCTGGAAGGAGACAAGAAATAAGTATTTCACCTGAAATATCTGTAGAATTTTATGTTCCTCTGCATAATTCATGGCAAGTTGATAGGGGTCTCCAAAAACCTCTGGATTCTCCAATGATTCAAATGTAATCTCTGTTGCTGCCAACACATTCTCAATGGTGTTACTGCCATCCTGTGTGGATTTGGAGGTGTGCATCTTGACTTTGAAACCTGGAAGTTCACCCACAGGTGATCTGATCTCAGGTGAGCTTTCCCTGGATGCAGACTATACAATGAGCAGGAAGTGGTGATCAGAACGTGGTGGCTCCTTGACAGCCAGCTGGTCTGCAGATACTGACAATTCCACTACAGATGGCTGGGCCACAGATGCTGGTGCTTCCACGCCAGGTAAGTCATCCAGAGATGGTGGGGATTCAACTATAGGTGTGTGGTCCTCAGATTCCTCCACTTCAGATTCTGAAAGATCGTCGAACCTTTGCCACAATAGTTAGCAGATAAAGAACACTTTAAACATCTATCTCCACAGACTAGGCACAGCACATTATTCAGTCTTCTGCAAATATATTGCAGCCACACTTCAAGCATGCACTAATAGGGTTTATTTCTGTGACAGGTCCCACCTGCACCTTCTGCATGATCACAGAAACTCTACTTAAGCTCCGGCCCAAGCCTTCAGAACTGGTCTGAATTATGCAGCGGTTGTATCTGTGCCTGATCCTCACTGACTAGTTTTCCTAGGGTGACCCTGAGTGTATATTCTAGGTAGTTTCTATGGAAGTCCCCTTCCTTGCCTGCGACTCTTGGTGAGCCCTCTGATGCGCACGCTGCCTGCACTGTGGCTGCCCTCAGCTCCTGCCTCATTCCCGGCTTGGTGCAGCTCCAGCTTTGCTCCCTGACAGCAGCAGCTGAAATTTGTGCAGGCTTTATCCATCTACCCCTTGAGCAGGACTGTGCTGTGTCCATGCCCCACACTCCCATCCCTGGACCTGTGACTGTGTGCGGGCAGTTCCTTCCTCCCGTCCCGAGTCCCGGCTGCTGCAATGTTGCCTGTTGCTGGGGGAGGCCCGAGGGAGAGCAGGAGCTGCGCTCACCCTCCTGGAACTGGGAAGGAGGGTGCAGTTCTTGGGGACAACGGGTTGTTGACAACGGGGTTCGCTTCCTGCAGAAAGGAGGCGGTGGGAGGGGAGCCGGTGGGAGGGGGGCGGGTGGCGCAGACAGGGAAGCGGGGGAAGCTGTCCCCGGCCGGGGCTCTCTCTCACCTGCCCCCGGCTCTGCGGGGAAGGGCAAGGGGAGCGGGGGGAGCAGTTCCAGGCCGGGGCTCTCCCTCATCTGCCCCCGGCTCTGCGGGGAAGGGCAGGGGCCGCTGCGCCCCCCGGCTGCGCCGGCTCTTTGTGCCGCTCGCCGCTCGCCGTAGCCGGGAGAGAGTTGTGGGGCGCGGGAAGCCGGGGCGGTTGCCGGGGTAACGCGGTCACGTGCCTCGGCGCTGAGTGCCGCGCGGCCATGTTGGGTGAGGGCGGAGTTCCAGGGCGGAGTTCCAGGCGGGCGCGGGGGGATCCCGGAGCTCCTCGCTGGGAAAAGACTTCCGAAGGAGTGTCCCGATGGCCGTGCTGGACTATGGCAGTAACTGCCATGTCCGGGCTTTGCTTAATCACGTCCAGGGACGGTGGCTCCACCACCTCCCTGGGCAGCCCATTTCAATGTCTGATCTCGTTTTCTGTGAAGAAATTCTTCCTGATGTCCAACCTAAGCCTCCCCTGGCGCAGTTTAAGAGTCCCCTTGTCCTATCGCTGGTTGCCTGGCAGAAGAGACCAACCCCACTTGGTTACAATCTGTTTACAGGTGGTTGTAGAGAGTGATAAGGCTCCCCCTGAGCCTGCTTTCCTCCAGGCTAAGCATCCCTCAGCTGCTCCTTGTAGGACTTCTGCTCCAACACCTTCATCAGCTTCATTGCCTTTTCTGGACTCTCTCCAGCACCTCAGTGTCTTGTAGTGAAGGGCCCCAGAAGTGGGCTCCATTCAGAAGAGACAGGATTTGAAGAGTGGCCTCCCCAGAGCTGAGTACAGGGGACAATCACTGCCCTGGTGCTGCTGCTCACACAATTCCTGATGCAGGCCAGGATGTCACTGGTGGTAATGCCTGGTCCCGGCCTGGTCTTAGCTCTGGCTCCGGTTCTGGTTTTGGTTCTAGTTCTGGTCTCATCCTGGAAAAGGACATGTCAATTAGCTTGTAAAGGAAAGCAGGGAAGCAAGGGGTAGGGTAGTAGAGTGCTGAGAAATATTTCCATGTACATTGATGTGAGGTACTTTCTCTTGTCCTCAGTTTTACACAGATCCAGACAGTTTGTGTTCTGCGTGATGAACTTCATCAGAAAAAGCAAATAAACAGCCTGCCAGTTTTCCCCAAAGAGGAGATGAAAGGATAAAGATAAAAGCTCTGCTGGGTTACCACAGTAACCAGCTTCTGACATATTCTGGTTCATGCTCCAGTCTGACAAGAGCTGGGTTTGAAACAACTGGCTGAAAATGCCAATCGAGGCTTATGGGGATGAGAGGAGGGGAGATACAGAACTTCAAAAGCTGTTCTAAACTTACAGATGTCACTTCCATTCAGAGCAGTTCACTTGGCGTGTGTTTTTCAGGTTATGCCATTGGCCTTTCAAGAAAAACAGCTGCCTCACTGCTCCAGTACCAGGTTCATGACAGTGTTGTCCATATCCTCAGCCATGCTGATCACTCAGGTGGTCTTGCACTGGAGCACTGCTGTTTGCACTCACGGGTTGCCAGGTCATTCTCTCTCTGATCCCTTCTTGCATCTCCCATTTCTCCACGTGACAGTGATGGTTCCAGACAGCATGGGACTGCCAGTTTTTGTAACTGCTGATACAGTTTTATCTGAAGGAGGCATCTTGATATCAGTTGTGTGTTAGGTGGTTGTGTGCTGAGCCATCCCAGAGCTGTGTTCTCCACAGCATGACTCCCTGCAGGACTTCTCCCATGGGTTTCTCCTCTCTATCCTCTACTGGACGGGACTAAGCAGCTCTCAGCTGCTTGCTGGCTTCAAATAGTGTCGTGCTGTGGGTAAATCTCGAGCCCCATGTGTTCCTTTCATCTGTGCCTCATTGGTAAACAGCAGATCTCTCCATTTTCAACCCCACTGCCTACTGCAGGGATCTGGCTGCTGGCTCTGGAAAGCTATGATTTTGCACAGGGAAGTAAGATGAATGACTCTATTAAATAAACATCACTGCTCTGTTTATTCTTTCAAAAGAACAGATTAAAAAAAACAGAAGATGCATTTTAAATGCATTAAAAATTCTGAGCAAAATAATGCCTTAAATACAATGCTCATGTAAGATAAATCACACGGCTTTTTTCTACACAGGCACATGGAAAGCAAAAGCATATTATTATATCATTATTTATATGGCACCATATGCTAAGTCTGGAACTTAAAGACTTTGAAATAAATAAGAAAACACCAGCTGCAGATTAGCAATACACTCCTTTATTGGAAGTCACTGTGTAACTCTGGCTATCATTCCTGCTGTTAAGTTAAAACTTAAATAAATTGTCAGAGAAATAAGATAGCCATTAGAGATTCAGTGTCTATCTCCTGGGGATGCTTTTTCTAACAGCTGTAACAAAGACCTGCTGCTGGTTTTGTCCTATCTCTGTAGTAACTCACTGCATTTGTCCCTGCAGTAATGCACAGTTGTTCAGTAGAGATGGTTGAGCTGCTCACTATAAATAATGTTGGTTAACAATGCGGCCCCTTTTGGGTTAATAAATTATGCTCAAACCACTCTTGAGCCTCTTTGATTGGTTTTTTGCAAGTCTTCAGTGGAGAGTTGGAAGAAATCACTTTCCACAGTCTGTTTACTTTGAATATTTCTTCTTATTTTATTGAGCTGTAAATATACCTATATAATAGCCAAATCCTGAAAGTGCCTATCTCAAATTCTGGTCGCCTCATCCACTACTTGAAAATCGTAATGAGATGCAGGGGATGAAACATATCAGCAAATTTAAATGTCATTGCTTAAAGGGGCAGAGTGCCTCGGTCAGCACCATGCTGGGAGATTTGTTCCTCTGCTTTGTGTGGAATTTGCTGTCTGAAGCTGGGGTTTCCCGCAGGCTGGGGCTGGTGGCCAGAGCAGGGAGCTCACCTGCCACATGATCCATGAGCTGTGGCTGCCCAGTCAATAGCCACAGCCCGAGCCTCACGGTTCTCTGTATGCTGCAGCCCCAAAACTCTCTGACCTGTGCTTTTCCACAGCTGTGACCAGACATAGTTAAAGCCTTCCTGACCTCTGGTGAACAAAGAGCAACTTTAGGTCATGGAGCAATTATCAGAAAAAAAAACCCCAGGCTGTGAGGCAGAGGTCCTTGGAGAGACACCTCTGCTCATCTGTATCCTGACCGGTGACTCTGTGGGGTCTTGAGGCTGTCCTGCACACTAGTTCCTTACCTCAGTGGTGGGTTAATTGTTCTGCCCTCGATCTAGAGGGGTTTTGAGAAAAAAAAAAATAGGCTGGGAGGAGAGCAGGTGTTAGTGCAAGAGAGTGGAGAAAGCCAGCTCCTGCATGAGGTAGAGGGCTGGGGTGCAAGGGGGAGAGGTGGCTGGGGCTGCTGATTTGCACCCAGACTGCTCCTGTACCAGCCAACTTTGATGTGGGTGTGCTTCTGGCAGTGATGTTGAAGAGGAGAGCGTAGCCAGGTGTCTGTGCTTGTCCAGGTGGCTGTGAGTGTGTGCTGGCATATGCAGCCCAGCACGTCCTGCAGCCCGGGCTCTGCCCGCATTTCCCAGCAGAGAGCAGCAGAGCCCTGTCGCTGCTCGCACCTCGGAGTGCGGCGGCCTCCGAGACCTGGCGGCACTTGTCTCCGCAAAGCTCAGCAGTAAACCTTCGCTGAGCTCGCCGGCCTGTCAGGCCTGCCCAGAGCATTGCTGTGGGCAAACAGAAGGCACATGCTCTCAATAACGAAGATTCGGGGCTTTTATGAAGTCCAAGATGTTTGCAAAAATCAGTGAGACCTTTCTTGAAGGGGTGTTCTCTGAATTGTCTTTCTGCTCAAAGTTTGCTGAAAGGGAGTGCCTCAAGTATGGCTTCAGAAAGTGGGGGTAACAGGATAAGCAAACCTCTTTTGTAGATGACCAGCATGGACTAAGTAACTCCTCAAGGTCTCCTTCAGTCCAGTCTTTGGCAGTGCAGGAAAGAGATATGTTATTAGCTTCTGTGTTTGGAAATACTTGCTTTGGGAGCCTGTTTAGCCTACCTTAGATTTAACCCTTTCTGTTAAAAATAAAGTTTCAGCTGACTCTTTTTCCCTCATTTGTAATGTTACCAGGAATGTTACTGGAGATAAAGATGAATGAAAAAAGTGGGATAGTTTCTTTGCCAAGGTGCCGAAACTAATTAATTGGTGTCTAGTTTAGATAACATTCTCAAGGAAAACAAGACTTTCTTCCCCGTTTGGAAATTTGCCTGCTGTTCCTATGGTATTTAAATAAGTAAAATTTGTGATTGTATTAGAAGCTCCTCAGCAGTATTAACTGGGACAGGTTTTGTAATTCTTTAATTGTCTCATTCTAGTTCCTGAAACTATTATGGTTTTATATGTTCTTTTGGAAGCTAAACACAGACCTTCTGGGAGGCAGAGGGCTTAAGTTTGGTCTCAACATCACATGGCATGAGAGAGAAGGGATGCTGTGTTCTGGCTGAAGTCCACAGTGAACCTTCATCCAATCCTGCCTTCATCAGATGTGAAACCCCTGATGGAAGGAAGGGTCCAGACGTGAAGTTCAGCTGGGGGAGTGGTGCCTGTGGAAGATGCTGGGCATAAAGACAGTGACTGGGTATTGGGAAGACTCTGGTTTGCCTTTTTGCTCCATCCTGCACACACTGCTTCATTGCTCTGCTCCCCTCTGCTGTGAACCCATTCCTGGCATTGGAACAGGGAGGCAGGCGTGATACGGAACAGGATTTTGGAAGGCAAGACCCTGAATAACTCTGTCAGTAGGTCCTTCTTAAAGAAGCAGTAAGCCACAGATGGTTCTGAGGGGCTTTCTGCATTCCTCAAAGCCTTGTGGCCACAGTACCCTCTTCACCCTCTCTTCCCCACACTCCCTTATTTGGCATTTATGCCAAGCTAATTTAAAATATGATGCAGACCACCTCAGCCCTGGGGTCACTCAGCTGGCCTCTGCAGCCCCCCACCACTCACCCCAGCTAGGATCTGTCCGTCTTTATTGATGCAAATGCTACTCTGTCTCTGAATCGTAGCTGTACATGGGAAAGGTGCAATTAGCTGCTGCACGGAGCCAGTCCTGTCTGCCTTCCCTTGTTTAACAGAGGCTTTAATTAAAGACCCCCTGATGCTAGAAAGGCACATTAATTATTCATCTGAAAACATTTACATAGAGTCCCCCGTTTCCCTTCTTCAATA